ATAATTTAAAGAGAACACTTAGGGGCAGCCCCGGTGGCTCAGCGGTTTAATGCCGCCTTCAGCCCAGGGCGTGATCCTGGAGACCTGGGATCGAGTTCCACGTCGGGCTCCCTGCATGGAGCCTGCTTCTCCCTCTGCCTGTGTCTCTGCCTCTCTCATGAATAAATAAATAAAATCTTAAAAAAAAAAGAGAACACTTAGCAGGGTGACTGGGTAGCTCAGAAGGTTAAGTGCCTTTGGCTCACATCATGATCCCAGGGTCCTGGATCGAGTCCCACATTGGGCTCCCTGTTCAGTGGGGAGCCTGCTTCGCCCTATCCCCCTGCCACTCCCCCTGCTTGTGCTAATAAATAAATTAAATCTTAAAAAAAAAGAGAACACTTAGCATCCTAAAATCCACCAGCAACATGTTTGAATTCTTAGATATATACCATGTTTTTATTTTTTTAAACATTTTTTTTGTTTTGTAAAGTAAAAGAATACCATAACAAAATATACTGGGTGGCTTGAACAACAGAAATTTATTTTCTCGCCATTCTGGAGGTTAGGAGACCAAGATCAAGGTACCATCAGGACTGATTTCTGGTAGGCCTCTCTTCCTCACCTGCAGACTGGCGACTTCTTCCTGTGTCCTTACATGGCCTTTCCTCTATGTACACATGGGAAGGTGGTGGGGAGATATCTGGTATCACTTCCTGTTCTAAGGATACCAGTCCTACTGAATTCAGGCTCCAGCCTTATGACCTCATTTAACCTAAATTACTTCTCTAAAGGCTTTATTTTAAGATTATTTATTTGAGAGAGAGAGAGAGAGCACGCATGAGCATGAATTGGGGGGGAGGGTGCAAAGGGAAAAGCAAACTCCCTACTGAGCAGGGAGCTGGATGCAGGGCATGATCCCAGGACCCCAGGATCATGACCCGAACAGATGGCAGAAAGAAGCTTAACCCAAGACTGAACCAACCAGGTGCCCCTAAAGGCTATATTGCTAAATACAGTCACTTTGAAAATTAGGATTCAACATTTGAAAGGGGGTGGGGGGTGACACACAATTCAGTCCATAACAAGGATTCTCTGTAGACAATATACATACTTCAGGAGCTCCTAAATCTTCAATCCTCTCCCACTTTAATCTCCTAGAAGATACAGGCATCCAAATTATAACTCAGTGGCTAAATTGTGCAGTGTATGGGGTGTGTGTGTGTGTGTGTGTGTGTGTGTGCCTATTTATCTGGAGATAAATAGGTCCAATTCAATAGGTCCAGTTAAGTCCTATTTTCCCTTTACATTTTAAACTTTAAATTAATAAAAACTCAGCATAAATGTAAATTCAACACTTAAGATTGATGTTATAATGCAAATGATACAGACTGCAGCCAGCCTGAGCAGCCATGCTAGAAATGCAGCCTGGGGAGGCTGTCAAGTGCATCTCTTCTGCCTCCTGCATGACATAGGTCCTGATTGCTCATTTGTCTTCTGTAATATGTGACACAGTTTTACATTTGGAAACAAGTTTCATTTGTTTGTACATATTTATGAAAGGAGAAAGAAATCTATTTGAATCTGGTTAAAGCTTTGGTTTTCAGAAACCCGAGAATTAGTAAAGACAATTTAAAAAAATGAAGTATTAGAAGTAGAGGACAGTACAGGGAGCTCTGAAAAGAAAAGTTCCAGGTCACAAAAGTTGTATTCATTGAGATTCAGAGTTTGTTCCCACTCTATGCTTCCCCTTTAGCTTCTTTTTGGAAAAGGAGTACACTGTTGCTCTTTGGAGGACACTAAAATAATTTTTAAAGTTCTTACTCTATTTGTCATTTCTTCTGTTTCAACTTTTGTTATGTGCAAACTGAAAAGAAAAAAAATGGGCACAATTCTGCAAAATCTAGCTGCTTTTGTGTCTGTTTGGTTTTTCAAAAAAATCCTTACAAAATAAACATATTTGGGATGCCTGAGTGGCTCAGCAGTTGAGCGTCTGCCTTTCACTCAGGGTGTGATCCTGGGATCCAGGATCAAATCCCACATCGGGCTCCCTGCATGGAGCCTGCTTCTCCCTTTGCCTATGTCTCTTCCTCTCTTTCTGTGTCTCTCGTGAATAAATAAATAAAAAATCTTAAAAAATAAACATATTTGGTTTCATTGTTTAAATAAATTGTTATTTATTCAGGGGGAAAGGTATCAATCAGAACAATGCAGAGTTAGATTGAGAGGGTCTCCCACTTCAAGAAGCAATCTAAAAATAAACATACAAATAACAGTTCTTGGAAAATTTGAGGACTATAGGGACCAATGATGCTTGCCAGGCTGCAAAGGCACACAGTTCTTGTGGTGTAAGGCGTAAAATTAAGGCCTATTATTATGTACTGCCTTGACATCTGGGAAAACCAATGGCCTAACTGCAGATTCTTCTCCCCACTCTGCTCCTGTAGATAAGATCCCCTAGCCAAAAAAAAAAAAAAAAAAAAACAACTCTTTATTATAAGGAATGGGCCCAGTTCCAGATTTTATCCCTGAGTAGTAGGTTTCTGTACTCTGCCAGCCTATGGATCTCATCTGTCCAGTGTCAGGTGTCCCGTGTTCAGCCTCCCCATTAACTCCAGGAGGGAAACCCCTCCCTCACCCACAAGGTAAACAGGACACCATTAAAATAGTCTCTACTGCTGCCTGGTTTCATCTGTACTAGTAAGATAAATTATTTATGTGCCACATGCACAAATGCAAATGTTCTTTAATCTTTTAGTTAGAATTCTAAAATAAGAAGCTGTTTGGTTTGATTGGCACAGACTGGGGGCATCGTTCTGAAACATTTAACTCGGATGTAGGTCTTCAGTGAACAAACTCAGAACTGCTTTTACTCTTTCTGCTCCCAGGCATGAAACCCTAGTAGCTAACAGGAATGTATATTCTGTTTCAGGCACTAACTCATTACAACAACCCTAAAAATATCAGCACTATTTTTATTCCCTTTCTACAGGTGAATAAATGAAACTAGGGAGGTTAAATAACTTGCCCAATGCTCTGACTTTGTTCAATTAACATTTGTTAGGTAGAACACAGGGTGCAGGATGGTGAGCCAAAGTTCACCAGACCACAAGAGAAACTAAAATAGAGCAGTTAATTACTCACAAGACCTGGAAGAAGTACAGGGAATGCCTCCAAAGGCCACACAAGGAGGTCAGGCCAGAGTGCAGATAGAGGCTAAGGACCTGGGGCAAGTGCCTTTACTAGGGTCTCTGGACGTAGTGCTTTGGAGTTCCCAGGTTAGGGCCAGATCCATCAATTTAAACCAAAAGAGTGGAGTTTTGGTAAGCCCCACAGGGATCTTATCTAAGGGACCTATAGAGCAAACAGGCACTGGGAGGCAGGGGAACAGTTGATCACAAGGGCTATTGGGGAAGTCATATCAGGAACTTAACATTTGCTTGTGATTCTGAGGGCTGCTATCTAGGGCATGTGCTTGCATGAGGCAGGGCTAGTGTAAGTTTAAGGTCCCTGCAGGCCACTTGGCGAAACCAAATGGATGCCCAGACAGCAGTACCATGGAGTAGCTTTGCTAAACTCTTGACACTCAAGGCCACACAGGTAATAATTGGCAAAGCAGAGCTTCAAACTCCGGCAGTCCGAATCCAGAGACTCGCCTCACTATGCTTTATTACCTCCCACTGCTAGGAAGAAAAGGAATAATCAAGACACGGCCCAACTGTTGTAATTTCAACCTAACTCTCAATGCCTGTAATGACTTTTAAATTTCTAATTTTTTAAAACACATTCAAGGCCCTCAGTATGGGTTATCTGATGTTCAATAAACAGTAGACATAACACTCACACAGCAATAATTAAAACTCTTCCTTCTCCTTTTTTTAAAAAATATTTTTAATTTTTTTTCAAATTATTTATTTATGATAGTCACAGAGAGGGAGAGAGAGAGAGGCAGAGACACAAGGCAGAGGGAGAAGCAGGCTCCATGCACCGGGAGCCCGATGTGGGATTCGATCCTGGGTCTCCAGGATCGCGCCCTGGGCCAAAGGCAGGCGCCAAACCGCTACGCCACCCAGGGATCCCCCCTTCCTTCTCCTTCTTAAACTACCTTTCCACTCCAATACTCACTTTCATTAGAGGAAAACGGATCTCACCCTCCTCCTCCTTTCTTGGGTCAAGAGTGAGACCTCCCTTTTCTTTCTGAGAGAGAGAGAGAGAGAGAGAGAGAGAGACACAGGCAGAGGGAGAAGCAAGCTCCCTGCGGGGAGCCAGATGTGGGACTCCAATCCCGGAACTCTGGGATCACAGCCTGAGCCACCCAGGCGCCCAAGAGTGAGACCCCTTTTAACAAAACCTTTGTAGGTAGCCTCAAATCCAGTAGAGCACATCACTTTTTCTACATTCATCCAATCACCTCTTGGAGAAAGGTTCTACTTTGTAATTTAAACCCGTTTCCAGGCGCCTGGCTGGCACAGTCGGTAGAGCGTGCAACTCTTGATCTTGGGGTTGTCAACTGGAGCCCCACACTGGGCACAGCGATCATAAAAAAAAAAAAAAACCAAAAAACCAACAACCACAACCGTAACCTCGACCCTTCCAAACTCCCTACATATTTCCACTTACATATCCTGTTATCTCAGGATCCAACACGCAATGGATGCGCTAGATGCTGTGAATTCTGTAATGAATAAAATCCTCCTTTCCACGAACTCAGTCCAGCGGAGAATAAAAACATGCTCATGAATGGCAACTTAACGCGAATATAAATGCTTTACATAAATTTGCGACCCTTGGCCATGTCCACTAGAGGATGGGAGGCGCGCGCCCGAGGACAGAAGAGCGTTAAGGGAGCCAAGGGTTGAATAAGCGGCCACCGCGGGCGGACTGAAGAACAAGATGAAAACGGGCGCAAGGCAGGAAGAAGGGTTCAGAGAAGTGCGAACACTAAACAGCGGGATGAAGGATGGAGGCGACTCTGAAGGCCAGCGGGCTCCTCAGGGCGCAGGTGCGTCAGTCTCACTCACCTCCCCTCTCTCCTCGCCCCGGAGGCCAGGCCCCGCCGTCGCCCCCAACTCGCAGGCGCGCGCGGGCACCGCGGCGGGGGCCGAGGCGAGGGCGTGCCCCGCGGTGCGCAGGGCGGGCCTTGGAGAGCGAGGCCGCGGACGGATCGGCAGGACCGGTGTGGGGAGCCTGGGGCGAGGCCGCCCCACCGACGGCTCAGCTGCGCGGGGGACAGCAGCGGGCCCGCGGGGAGCGGGCGGACCGGCTGCGCTCCGCGCTCTTCCGGAAAGAACTGCGACGCTTCCCCACCCCCAAACCCGAGGCTTCCGTCTCCGGACTGCAGACCGGGACGGGGGGGCCATCGCTGCCGCGAAAGCAGGGAACACTCTCACGAGCCTGGGAAAATCTCAGTTGCCTTGGCTCCCAGAAGCCCGCTGCGCAACCTCCCTAAAGCTGAGAAAAACGTGGAAACCGTTCCGGGTACGTCGGCAAAATCCTTCCCCAGGGCTACGTGGCGTCCAGCCCAAGTGAAAGGGGTGGCGTATCCGTGTAAATAAGCCGCCGCTGCCAGCGGCTCGGAGCGCTCTTTCTTCCAGTTCCGTAGGGGCTCGGCAGGTCTCATTTAGATAGGAAACTGTGCCTTTCTCAGCCTTACACTTGAAATAACCGCAAGGGACGGATGACGGACCACGGCATACATTTCACAGAATGGCCATATCAACAACACAGTCGATTCTGCTTGTGTTTCAGGTCCTTTCTCTGCTTGTGTGTATGTAGCATATTACATAATATTGGGCGCTTAGTGTGTCTCGTGTATGTGTGTATGTATGTTTGCATAATATATGCATAGATATGTGTGTACGTGTACATATATAATATATCGAAATGGCTCGAGTCGAGTCACATGTTTTTTTCTGAGCCTATCCTGAATTAAAAGAAAAGTCTAAATGGGGGACGGGAAGAAAAAACACAAAGTATTCAAAGTATTTCTACGCAGCTGACAGTGTGTTTATTTTAGTGTTGTCATATTTAGCAAAAAAAAATAGAGTAGATCCACCTACATTTGAATTTCAGATAAACAACGAGCAACATTTTAGTATAAGTATGTCCCATATGTATGACAATAATAATGCAGTATTAAATGACTTTTTTGTTGTTGTTAAAGATGAGAAGGCCAGTAATGTGCCTCCTCCAAGCTGTTCACTTGCTGTTTGAGAAGCAGGAGGCAGCCCCTGATATCTGGCAGGTAGCAGAGCACGCAGGCCATGTTCTTCTGTTGAACATAAACTCACACAACATTAACCTAAGACAAAGTCACTAGGAGACTGATGAGGCAAAACAAAACCAATTTATAATTTTGTCTAATCATAGCTTTTAAGACAGGTCACTGTGTCACTCAGAAAACACCAAAATGGGTGACTGCTATTTTATCAATTATAGCTTTATTCCCACTCTCCTCTGCCCTCCCTATAGATAAGATTTATTGAGATGCCCGATCATAAAATTGCTCCTGCTTTCTGACAGCATCTGATCTAGAGTGAACTCCCCTCTCCTTAGATCATTCCCTAAATAGCCCGAATACTACAATAGGTTCTTTTTAACATCCTTTTACTGAAACACCCCACAGTTCCCTATGGTATGCGTTCTTCCTCCCTGTAAAGAATAATAAACCCAACTGTGGGTGTATTCCTGGTGATCTTTGTTTGAAGGGCATTGGCATGTTCCATTGCCTAGAATGTTCTTCCCTAGATATTTGCATAGCTCTTTCCCTTAGTTTATTGTGTTCTTTGCTCATACATCATCTATTCAGAGAGGTCTTTCCCGACCACACTATTTACAATGGCACCCTCATTGTTCTCTGTTCCTTTACACTGTTTTTCTTCACAGCATTCATTACTATCTGATATTATACATTTAGATAACATATGCACATATGTTTATCATATGTCTCTCCCATTAAAATCTAAGTTTCATGAAGACTGGGACTTCATCTTTTTTACTGTATCCACACTGCCTACAATATTGCCAGGCACAGAGTAGGTATTAAATGATAGGTATTTAGTGAACATATGAACACATGGATTTTTATTGTGTCAGGATTTTTTTTTAAGATTTCGGGTTTTTTTAAAGATTTTATTTATTTATTCATGAGAGACACACAGAGAGAGGCAGAGACATAGGCAGAGGGGGAAGCAGACTCCCTGCGGGGAGCCCAATGCAGGACTCGATCCCAGGATCCCAAGACTATGACCTGAGCCAAAGGCAGACACTCAACCATTGAGCCAGCCAGGTACCCCTGAATGTCATGTTAAAAAAATTTTATCATCAATTGAATATATATTAAGCACTCACAAGAATCTTGGCACTTTAACACAGAGGAGGACAGTTGCTGCCCTCAAGGAATTCATTGGTTCAAACAAGTCAAGCAAACACTGACAGTAGGGTTCTAAAACCTAACTGATTCTGGGCACCTGGGTGACTCAAAGAGTCTGCCTTCGGAGTCCTGGGATCAAGTCCCACATGAGGCTGCCCCCAGGGGGCCTGCTCTTCCCTCTGCCTGTCTCTCTCATGAATAAATAAATAAAATCTTAAAAAAATAAAGCCTAAAAAAATAAAAATAAATAAATCTTAAAAATAAATAAAGCCCTTTCAGGAAAAGAAAAAAGGCAAGGCAATTCTCTTGGTGACCCTGGTGCTGGCAATGCTGGCACAAAAGGTATTGCATCTTCCAGTTTACTAAGAGGTAATCAACAAACCTTTGATATCAAGCATGCAGCTACTACCACTGTGATCCGTATTTCAAAAATATGTCTTCTTTTAGTTTTAGCCAACTAAGCTACTGAAAGGTAAATAGATCCTAAATTTTCAAGCAGTACTTCATCCTGGTTCCTAAAAACATTTTTTTCCTCCTAAATTTTGCGCGAGGTTGACTCAGGAAAATGGTCATTAATCTGGTAACTAGTTGGTTAAATCTGCTAACTCAGTTCCAGGATAATACTACTATCTGCTTTAGTTTCTTTTATAACAGTGTACTCCTGTCTCCTGTGAAATGTCTTTTATTCTTTAAAGATTTTATATATTTATTCATGAGAGACACAGAGAGAAAGGCAGAGATACAGGCAGAGGAAGAAGCAGGCTCCATGCAGGGAGCTGGATGTGGGACTGGATCCTGGGTCTCCAGGATCACGCCCTGAGCCCAAGGCAGATGCTCAACCGCTCAGCCACCCCAGCTGCTGGAAATGTCTTTATATTAAACAATGAAACTCATAATTTTAAGTCCTAATTGAAAAAACCCCAATAATGCAATAATTCTCACATTGTTTTCTCACAATACAAAATCTTGCAGAGCCTGAGGAATTTCGTGCGTATTTATTTCCATGTGAAAACACAACCACTGTGGTATTTTTCTATGTGGCTTTACTTTATTGAGGAGAATGTAAAATAGATTAGGAATGGTTCGATGGTGACATTCTTGTCTGATTTCATGTTGAAGGACATTAGATATAGTGATTTTTTTCATTCTGGAATATCCTGACGGACATTTTCAGCAAGATTTTTGTAGGAAGGAAGCACGGGATTCTGGCTGAAAGGTAAACAGATGCAAATTCACATTTGGGGGAATGGATGCAATATTATCCTATACTTTTTTTTTAAGAAAATGAAGGTAGTGGATGGCCTCAATTGTTGACAAAAAAAGCTAATATTTTGGCTCCGTAGTTGGATGCGATAAATAACCAGCCCGAAGGGAGAGATTTTGCTCTCCAAACACCCATTCTGTTGCTTCATTTGTCGTAGTACTCAGGCAGAAGTGTATTAGCAGAGGGTTGTAAAAAAATTACCACGGCTCACTCATTCATTCATTCATTAAACAATTATTGAACACCGACTATGTGTCAGATGCTAAAACCCCCTGGGGAGGAAATGTTACGTAAAAAATAAAAATAATAAATCAACAGTGCAAGTGTTCATTTATTCCTCTTTCAGGATACAGCTCAAATGGGGACATTTAGTTTGCTCTTTCCTTCTCTGTGTTCTACGCCTTGCACAAAAATACTTTGGTCGACGTTTGTGTACCCATCTAATGAGCTCTTTGGGAAGGGAGAGACCCTGGTTTACTCTTTTTTGTGTTCCACCGCACCTAGCCGGAGATTTGGTATAGCTCAGACACGTGGTCAGTAAATACTGGTCGAAGCGAAGGAATGAAGATAGTACCGCATCGCTTAGTATTCAATTAAGAAAACTGTCTAGTGTCCTAGATTTATTTCTTAAAAATAGTATCTGTAATGTCGTTTAACTTGTCATCGTCTAACTTGAATCATCCAGAGTCGATCAGTTCGACCCGATTATATTTATTCCGGTTATATTTCAAGGTGGCTCATCGTCTAAGATCCGGGGCTAATCGGGCAGTTTCAAACTTGCAAAAGTAGTGAAACTCATATGGTCTCGAAAAGTTTTTCCGCCCTAGCAGCTTGCGCCCAATTTCGGTGAAGGCGACTCGCTTCCCTCGCGTCCCCGCCGCCTGCGACGGTCCGCATTACCCCATCTTTCCCTTCCCTTTTTCCCACCCTTTCGCCCTCCGGAAAGGGCCGAAAGGCTCCCAGAGCTTCCCAGTCTCTCTCCGCCCCCTGCGGAAGGAGCCGAAGGCAGAGCAGGGCGCCGAAACGGGGGCGGCTAGGAGCTCGGGCCCTTCCGGAAAGACCCGAACTGCGCTCGGAGGAGGAGGGCGCCTTCGACTTCAGCGCTGCGTCCCGGTGCTGTGCCCTCTGTCGGCGGCGCGGGGCAGCTGTAGCAGCGGTGGCGGCAGCCGCGTCGACGTCGACCAAGACTGGAGCGACGTTTAAAGAAGGAGCCGAATCGCCGCGGAGTCTGGCTTCTGGTTGTTGGAGGGCTCCCACCCGTCCGCGCGGCCCGACGAGGAGAAGCGGCGGCGCCGGGAAGCAGGTGAGGACCCGGCCCTGCGCCGGGAGGGGCGAGGGAGCGCGCCCGCTGCCTCCGTCGCTGGGCCGCGCCTGCGTTTGCATTCTCCTCACTTGAACCAGGAAGCGGCGGAGTCGGAGGCTCCGCTCCTCCGGCCCTTCCTTTGTGTGGGCCCGGGAGCGAAGGAGGGGACGAGCCCGGAGGGCCGCGCCGCGGTCCCCTCCGCCGTCAGGGGCCGAGGGGCAGCCGGTGCCCCGGGTAGGCCCGGCGCGTGGGGAGCCCACCGCGGGGACCCACTTGGCTTTTTCCTAGCCCTCTGCCTGCCTTTTTGTGCCTCCTTTTCTCCTCGTAGCCCCTACTTTGATTTAGAGCTTTTCTGCCCGGCCCATCCTCCCCTCCCGTCCCCTTCCCAGGGCACAACAATGCCGCCTGCTTGGCCTCATCCCCTCCCAGCACCCCACCCTCCCGTTCGCCACCTTCTACTTTCCCCGGCTTGCCCGAGGACCCCCGCCCTCGCGGTGTCGTTCGTACCTCCATCTGGATTTGCAGGAAGCTGCCTTTTCGCGTGAATTGGGGTGAAAAAAAAAAGCCCTCGGCTGCAGCCGGCTGGGTGCAAATGGGGAAGAGGGGGTGGAGTAAGGAAGATGGGGTTCAGCTGCCGCAGGGAGCCGCGTGTCGGTTCGCTTCGGTCGCGGATGGCGTTTC